AAGGTGTGGAATGATCTTCTGCTAACTTTGCGTGATAGCAATTTGTCATTTTCTCATTTCAAAAGGCAGTTGAAGACATTCATTTTTCAGCAATAGGTTCAAAATACGTGGAGAGAGACTGTGAGAATCTTTTAATGGGCGCTATATAAATCATCTAATAATAATATAATATCTATATATGCAATCTATGTCATATCATATTTGTACGAAAATGAATGTGTGTGTTGCTATTTATATTTGTTTGTGTATACGGTCGTTTTTGAACGTTTGCTGCCTTTTAAATACTTGTGTGAACGCACAATTGCCAAAAATAAATCTTGTTATATACGTATTTATTTTACTTTAATTCTTCTTCATAACTTTTTTATAATCACAGTTACTAATTTTCTTGTTGTAGCATTCCATGCGTCTGACAGAGATTGACTTACAGAATGAAAAAAAAATCAGTAAATACAATGCATACATTTTCAATAGCTTATTAATGTTGCAAACAATGTAATCTAAAAACGTTTTGATTACAAGAAAAAAGATTGTTAAAAACAGATAGAAGATCATAAGTAACCATCAATAAATAGAAATCATCAACATCAACATTCAATCCTTTCAACAGTTTTACGATTTCTTTACAATTCAAAACTCCATCATTATTTCGATCAGCATGTATAAACTGTTTCTCATACCATCTATTAATTCAAATAAGGATATAAAAGCGATGGTGAATTCAATAACTTTTATAGTTTTTTAATGTCAAAAAGTAATTTTGATTCATGGTTGTTTAAACAAAAGCATAATTTTTAAAAGCAGTTTTAAATGCAATCGATAAACATAACATAATAAATAAGTGTATAGTGGTGAAAAGCTATAGGAAAAATAGGAAATAAAAAGACGTAGAAGGATCAAAGATACTTAGATCTGAAGTTCGTGCCGCTTATTCCAAAATGAAATCAAATAAGAGATAGTTGTTGAAGAAATTAAAATGCCTTAATGAATTCGGCATGAAAAAGTGACAAAAATTTTGAATGAGATTTATAACAGCGGCTAAATTCCTGAAAATCTATCCAAGTCAATATTTATAGCAATGCGTAAAAAACCAAGTACAACAGAATGTGAACTACATCGAACAATCAGCTTGATGAGTCATCTTACAAAACTTCTCTTGAGAATCCTGATGATGAGAGCACGAAGCAAAATCAGATCTGAAATTCAAATGTCCAATGTGGCTTTGTCGAGGATTGTGGCACAAGAAACGCTATCGTTAGGCTACGAAATATCAGTGAACGAGCGATTGAAATGAAGAATGACTTTAGATGTTTTGTCGATTACTCCAAAGCTTTTGATAGCGTGAAACAAGTTGAGTATTTGAAAGTGAAAGGAAAGGCTTGCAAATTAACATCAACAAAACCACCCCGATCTGCTCCATAATCATTAATGGTAAACAGGTGAAACAAGTCAACAGCTTCAATCATCTCGGAAATCTGATTACCTCAGGTTGTAAATGTGATATGGATAACAAAAGAAGGATAGCTATGGCAAATGATGCATATTCTAGAATGAAAAACATCCTCATCAACAGTAAAATCAAAATATCAACAAAACTAAAACTGTTAAAATGTTGCATTTTTCCTGTGATAACTTGCGGTTCTGAGTCCTGGACAATTTCTAAAGAAATGAAAAAAGATTAACGCTGCTGAGATGTGGTTTTTGAAAAGAATTATGAAAATTAGTTGAACCTCTCATACTTCGAATGAGGATCTATTAAAACAGTCCGGTTATGAAAAGAGGAAATTACTACAGATAATCCGACGGGAGGCAGTTAAAATTTTTTGGTCACATCATGCGGAAGGAAAGAATGGAAAATCTAACAACTACTGGAAAGATTGCAGGGAAAAGATATCGCGGTCAACAACGAACAACATTTGTGAAGTCCTTGTGTCACTTGCTGAATATCACCACATTTCAAATTCGGGTTTTTTGGAGGTCGATGGTCGCCAATATCTTGAAAGGATAAGGAACGAGAAGCAAGATAGTGGTTCAAGTAGAACGAGTCTATGTTATCACACTCTGAGATTAACATTAACCATTTTGCCAATTGTGCTTTAGAATAATTGGTTGTTTTTGTGCGCACATATTATTTCTTCTCCAAATTTGTTCCACTAATTTACAACTCTATAGCTAAAAAAGTTTTGCTTTATAGTTCTTAAGTTTTATTGGAATATTTTATATCCGTGTTTCCTTGTTTTGTGGTTAATCCAAAGCTCAAAAAATGTTGCTGATTCCATAACATCTTTCATAATGATTTTGTATGCCGGAATTAAGTTTCCTCCTGTTCTTCTTCTTTCTAGAGTTGTCAAACAACAAACATTTAATCTGTCCTGCCATTGGAATTAGAAACGATTAATGGGCACAGGCGTCATGCCTCTATACTCATATTTTTAGCTGTTATGAATTGTTCAACTTTTACTTCTAGTTCCAAAAATTATCCAACATTTTTTCAACTAGCCTAATTCAAGATGCTTCTTTGTTGTACAGCCCTTACAAAATTTTACAAACTTCAACCACATCGCCTCTGTATCTGCGATATTTTAATGACGGTAGATCGTTCCTCATATGTTAAGATTTTGACAACTTTTACCAACTTTGTTCTTTTTTTGTATTTCTTCTACTTCTTTAATTAAAATTGTTCTATAAGAGCGAGCACCATACTGCAGTTGCATATTCTACCTTACTTCGTAAAAACTCTTGTACAACATTACAAAAGTTTCTTGGTCCATTTGTCGAAAATTCCTTTTAAAAATGCTGAGCATACTTAGGCTATATTAATTGTCAAAAATTCCTTTTTAATATGCTGAGCATATTGTAGGCTCTATTTTTTTTCTTCGATATATGTTTTGCATAATTCAGTTTACCCTCTATAATTACTCCCAAATCGTCTGTATATTTCGTGTGACCAATGGTTTCGTTTCCAATTTATACTCATAGTTTGTAGTGGTAGTACATTTACCCGTTTTCAACTTAATCGTCATTTATCTTTCCGCTTCTTTAAGCCATTAACCGCATTTAGGAATTCACCAACACCTTCCAAACACTGTGCGTGTTTACAAATTTTAACCTTGTCTGCAAATCGGTGCGTTTGGGCATAATAATCTAATTCCACCGGTATGTAATTAATGAAAGTGTGAAACAGTAGAGATCCTATAACATTACCTTGGAGCATACCGCTTGGTGTTCGGAAAATTCTTCGAAAAAAATTCTTTGCGAGAAAATTCTTTGCAAAAAATTGTTCGCAAGAAAAATTCTTTGCAGAAAAATTCTTTGCAGGGAATATTCTTCGCAGTTCAGAAATTATAATTAGGAGCCAATCCACGTTAATAAACCATTATATCACGATTCGCATAATTTTCCACATTTCTTTGAATGCGTATAGCGGTATCACGACAGCACTTTTTCGTTGCTGGGCGGTCTCCACCGGCGAGATATTGCTCAATTAATCCTTTGTATAGTGCTTGCTCATTTTTTATTTCAAGCCATTGATAAATTTCCAAACAGTCAGATGACTCGCTCCAATTTATTCGCCAAAGGCTCTGTGCCATCCAAATGTTGTCCTAATTTTCCATAATTTCCTTAACACTCAATGACCATTCTCGTTACTCTCCTTTGAATTTCTCAAAGCATATCCTAGCCCTTTTGCAAATTCGGATTCAAAAGCTGAACACAGTACTCCAACTTAGGTAGGACCATACATCAGTATAACGGTTATCTTATCTCCGCTTTTTACTTCCGCTTTTTACAGTTTTTATTTTATCAACAATGTCGCGATACCTTACCATTACGATGGATTGTCATTCCAAAATCCTTTCTTCCTCTGAATTTTTATGGTGTATTAGCAAGTTTAAATAATTTTTCTTTGTTTTTCATATAATTGCGTATTTGTCAATGTTAAACATAATTTGCCACTCTAAGCCCCATGGACACAGTTTTTGCAAATCACAAGTTAACCTTTCAACGTCTTTGTCATTGTCAACAATTACACATTATTTAATTAAGACAAATTAAATAACACTTATGCATTTGCGTTTGTGCCTACAAATTCATTTACGAATTACAATAAATTGTATTCAAACCAGATAACTGCATGACAAACTTTTTCTCAATTATAGAAAACTAAAAAAAACATTTTTTTCTCCATTCAAATTAAAATATTGACCAATCGTGAAATAGATCTTCCAACACCCATAACATTTTTTGAATTTAACACAATATACAATATAGAAATTAAAATAAAATTATTTAAAAAGGATACTGTTTCTTCAACTCGATCACATTATAGCCAGTATTTTTCATTTTGAGGAAGACAATGCTGTCATAAAAAGCATTTCGTACATCTTCAGAATCAGCAACTAAATCGAGAGTTTTTCGGTTCATTACAACAGACAAGCACCTGTCATTCTAAAAATAAAGAACATTTTCTACAACACCTCTAATAAACTTTTATAAGTAGAATTTATTAAAATATTTTTACATCAGACTATAAAAGGGAGAATCTAATAAATTTGAATTAATGAAAAAAACTGGGAATCCGTTTTATTTCAGGGGAACTAACCGGGAACTTGAACTTGTTTTCAACGGCGCGGGGGACAAAAAAATCGGGGCGAAAGTTTTTAGTTTCTAAAAAATCATTTAAGAAGATATAGCAGTATATGCGAAAATATTTGGATAATATTGACAATTTTAATGAGCATGTTAGTAAGAGCTTGAAAATGTGGATGAATGTTAGCAGAAATTGGAAAAAAATAGTAAAGCATCGGGAAAACCAAAAAATTAAAATTTATTAAATATGAAAAACATAAATAAAAATATGAACGATTTGATTTAGAAAGAACTAAACTTTAAAAAAATATATTGAAATAGTGAGAAAAAAATCTTACAAAACATGTAGAAAAATAGAATGGATCAAAGAGAGCTGGAAGTGAGTGATGTGGTGAAGTCGGTTAAAAGAAGAAATGTGGAACAAATCTAAGAGTGGAACACTGGAAGCAACACAACAGACTGAAAAAACAAGAAAATTGATGTGTAGAGCAAATAAATTAGAAAAAAGTGAAACGGCAGGAAATATGAAGTTAGAAGAGGAAGAGAAAAGAAAGTTTCATATTGCCAAGCAAATGAATGAAAAAGAATAAACGCAATAACGAATAACGGTATAAAAACCAGCAATAGAAACCTTCGCATATAAATAGATTAAAAAATCATGTAAAAAGACCATTGAAAAAAGAAAATAATGATGAAGTAAAACGAAATGTAAAAGAGGAAAATAGTTGGAAGAATATAAAGAAAAGAAAGCCAGGAAGCCTTTGTCTTACTAAAAAAATTGTTTAATAAGATACAAGCTTCAGTGGACTATGAAGATATTCAAAAGCATCATGAAGAAATGGCAATCTCCAAAAGAATAAGAAATAAACATTATTTACCCAATTTAAAAAAATTATTAATAAATAATGATAAAAATAAAATTTATGAATGAAAAAATTTAGCTTGCCGACAGTCTCCAAAACATTGCTCATATTGTCAGTGATGGGCAAAGTTTAACTACATAGTTGGAAACTAATAGTTTAACTGATTTTTTATTTTCTTGCATAGCTTAACTAAAAAAAAGTTTAGTTAAAATGATAGTTTAACTGAAATATTTCAGTTAACAACTATATAGTATAATTAAAAATTTTTGGTTAGCTCTTTTTTTCGCCAAATCAGGTCGCGATCAGTTGTTTTTAAAATATAAATTTTAAACTAAAAAGTGCGAAACAATTTAAATTTTCAATATTTTTAATGCGATGGACATTTAATGTTTTTAATTTTACTCATGTTTCCCAATTGTTTGATTTCCTGTCCTTTTCGTGTTATACGACCACGAGAATGGTTAGTGAGTGTTTTTGAATCTTTTTCAATCATTAAAGTTTGTGTTGTTTAATTTAAAAAAAGTTTTTTATTTTAAATAAAGTGCTCAAAGGAAAAGTCGGATGTTTGCGCACCTATAGCTTTACGTAGCTAATATTACGATATTTTTTCAATCACAATTTTAATTTTAAAATATTAAATAATTAATTTTTGGCCTACATTTTTTGATTTGTAATAAAATGTGCTATTTATATTATTTACTGTATGAGTGCTTCTAAATTTACAGACATGTTATGACTGGTTTTATTAATAAATAAAAGAGCCTACACGGGTGTCAAGACAACTGACCAGTCTAGTACACTCGTGGCAATATCTGATGAGGTAGTAATAATTAAATAATTCATTATTTTTAATTGTAGATTTTTTTGTATAATATTTTTGCATAAAAGAGAACTTATAAAATCTTAATTTGTGTATGCAAAACATGTATATAAAGCGACAGATTTTAATTTTCAATGCAGATCTCTGGGTACCTGGCTTCAAAGTCTGATAATGTCAACAGTCTGTTGGCATACCCGGCTGTTGTGGAGGCATTCGGTAAAAGTAACGCCAGACTATCCAGTTCAGCTGCTATTGAAAGACTATTTACTGTTGCTTCAAGCTATTGTTTTTTCATGCTAAGATTAAACGAACATACATGCTTTTCTAAAGTTTTTTTTAAATGAGGCGCTATACTGTTGAAAGTTAAACTAAAAAAATAAGACTATGAATTTTTTTGAGCCAGTATATTACTGAATTGTTCTTTAATTTATAAATTTCATTTTAGCAAATGTATATGTTTGATTTTTCTAAAGGTTTTTTTAAACTAGGTTGTGTTACGGTTTTCATAAACTTTACTATTAAAAAGACTTTTATTTTTGTTTTTACTTTTATATTTAAATTTATTTATTTGAGTTATTTTGAAGTAATAACTGTAAATTGAATGGCTTGTGTTAAAGTGTTAATGCTGATTCAGAATTCTACCTGTCAAAAAGTGAACATAAAAATAGTTGCAAAATAGTTTGAAAAAGTTTAATTACTTTTTTTTAGTTTAGTTTGCTATTTTCAAAAATAAGTTTACAACTTATAGTTAAACTACTTATTTTTAGTTAAAAAATAGTTATAGTTTAACTATAAATATTGAGTTAGTTACCCATCGCTGCATATTGTTGATAGATAAAAGCCTCAAAGTTGGTAGAAGGTTTCGTTCTGAGTGTACTGATAATGAACTGAGACAGAGCAAGTTGATATGGCTTGCAGATTAATAAAAACAAATGAACTGCTCTGAAAATACAGAACTACGAAAGAATAGGTTGATAAACTCACAGACCAGTTGACCTAGTTAGAAAGGGTGAAAATACACAAAATAGTAAAATTCAAGGGCAATATCGTTTATGGTCAGAAATGTCTGATGAACCATTACAGTTATTTTATCACACTAGAAAATGTTGAAATAATAAGTTGAATAAGTTTGAATTTATTTTTAAAAAATTATAATACCATCAAAGTTTTTTCATTTGATTTGTAAACAGTTGAAAATCTGTCTGTGACCGCTCCTTTTCTAACTTCAGTTATACTTGACATTTCAACTGGTTATTAATAAAAATATTTTTCAAACAAATATTTGTACACAACTTTAGACTGTTTGCTTTATGTTTTTAAAAAATCTATTAATAAAAAAAACACAAATAACCTGACATACCAATCAATCAATCAATCTTCGTATAGCGACCAGAGACCCAGTTTCCCGAGGTAGGACGTTGTTTTCTTTGCCATCAACTTTTTGCACCAAATTAGACGATCAGTTGTATCCATTTCATTTAAATTCAGAGCCTTCATGTCTCACTCGATTGTTTGCGACCAGGACTTCTTTGGACGGCCTTTAACGTGTGCCAGATATTTCAACATCTGCAAGAGAAGTTATGGCACTGTTTCCACTTCGTTTGACATAACCAAACCACCGCAGACGGTGTTGCCGGCATTTGTCCTTTATTTCATCTAAACCAGCACGACGCAGGATTTCGGTAGATTTGATGTGGTCCTTCAGACTAATTCGTTGCATCCATCGGAGCATTTTCATGTCGGTTCGTTGAAGTTGTTGTTCTAGATTGGTTAGGGTTAGGAATTCTCACTTGCCATGTTTCTGCACCATAAAACAAGACCGGACGTATCACAGATTTATAAAGTCTTGATCGTAGTGGTAGTGGGATGTCACGCCGCATCAATATAGAGGCAAGAAGATGCCATTTATTCCAGGCTGCACGTATGCGTGCTCGAACGGCAGCTTCAGCTGTTCCAGTACAATCCAGAACATCCCCTAGATATTGAAACGATGTGACTTTCTTTACCTTAATGGCTTCAAAAACATTGCTATTTCGAACTTGTTGTTGTAGATTGATGCAAGCAGGACAAAAAAAATTGGACACTTAGATAAAGTACCAATTATTTTTGAACAAAGTTTGTTACACTACTGGTTACACTGCTGACACTTGATTGAATTGTTACCTACACCAGCTTTACAAACTGAACAGAGCCATCGTCCAGTAGCTGTGGATTGGATTGGTTCACCAGTGTTCATTGCTTTATTGCTTTTCATTCATTAGATTCCAAATGTCACCAGTTCGTATCGGTTTTGTGATTTCTTCCATCACAGTTATAAATAACAGTGGACTGAAAATCGACTTTGATTTTTGCCATTGCTTGTATGCAGCTTTCTTTTCAGCTATTGCATTTTGTACACTGTCATTCCACCACCAAGTGTCCCGTTCATGCTGACGTTTTGTACCAGTTTTCCCACAAACTGTAGTTGCAGCGTTTATCAAAACGGTTTTGTATGTACTCCAATCTGTACTGGCTTGCGATTGGTGGTCTAACTGTGTTGCAACAATCTGTTGAAATTTTTCTCGATAAATATTGCTTTTCAGCTTCCACGTTTTGATTCTCCGAGGCATTTGTTTAGACTTATTTATGTTATGACAGTTCGACAACCAGGTCTGCCACAAGGAGTCATGTTGGGCGACACATGATTCGCCAGATATAACTTTGACATTTTTGAATAACCTTCGGTGTTGTTGCTTGACAGCGAAGAAATCAATTTGCGTGGCTGATGGTCCACTTCTGTTTGTTATGAGATGTTTCAACCTCTTTCTAAAATATGTGTTCAGTAAACAAAACCCGTGACTTTCAGCAAACTCAAGGATGCGGTTGCCATCTTCATTCCGTTCTCCATAGCCAAAACCGCCATGTACGTTGTCAAAAGCATCTGTTTTCTCTCCAACGTGGCCATTGAGGATTGTTTCAGATTTTGGTATTGTTGAGATGGTGTCAGAGAACGCAGCCCAGAAGTCATTTTTCATCTCTTCTGATTCGCCTGTCTGTCCGTATGCAAAAAACTAATCATTGTTTGCTTTTCTAAGCGAAGCTTGATCCACATTAGACGTGAATTAATCCTTTTAATATCCAATACTTTTTGAGCTAGCGGTTTTCTGACAAAAATTACAAAACACCATTTTTGGCCGTCTTTTGACCATTCCAAAATAGTTTATATTTTTCTTTGTCTGAGTTGACATGACAGACACCATTCGATTTCCATCGGGTCTCCTGAAGGCAGCAGATGTCAATCCTTCTACGCTCGAGCATTTCTGCGATTTCCATGCTTCGGCCAGTCAGTGATCCAACATTGAGCGTTCCAAGTCTAAGAACCATAGAGGGGCCATTTTGAATTTTTCTGCAACATCCCTCCGCTATTGCATACTTCCCAGGATTCTTGGCACCCCTTGACCACTTAAGGCCTGCTGGGGACTATGGACCGTTGTTTTTCTTTGTGATGGCATAGGAATAATTTGAAGAAAATTATTCCTACGACAAATAATCTGACATACCAGTAAAAGTAAAATACGGAGAGTAGGTTATTAAAAAGATTTCCAAGAAACAAGTTTGCATTTTTTTTTAAATAAAACTGAACAAGGCAATTTAGCAGAACTACAAAGATCCTTTTGTCGATAAGCGGCAGCAAAATCTGCTGAAACATTTCTGCCTTAGATCCACAACTTTTGCTGAACTGCATATGATCATAAAACCTTTCTTCATTTTAGGCGACGAAACTGTTTTCTCTTCTGAAGGGGTTCAACAAGGAGATCCTTTAGAACCCCTTCTTTTTTCTTTCTCAGTTGATCCTTTGCTAAAATCAATGAAATCTAGATTTGCGGTAAGTTACCTCGAAGACTCGCTGGGAGGTATGCTGGAATCTTTAATTGTTGATTTCGAGCACACTCGTAACAGTGGTCCCCGTTATGGTTTAAACTTAAATTTTCAGAAAGGTGAAAAAATCTGTCGTTCAATCAAATCGCAATCCATCCATTTTGGGCCTGATAGCAATCCCTGCACATATAACAATTGAATATTGATACAAAAACTTTTCTCCCGCTATGCATAGCAACATTCGGTTCTACACGCAAACAATCTACATCAAACCATGAAGCTGTTTGTTCTCTTCTGATATAAATCTCGCGGAGAGGCACTAACAGGTCGACAATGTATTTTAAATCGCTGCTAAACAACAAACAGTGGCAGAGTTATTTTAATAGAACCAAAATTAGAACGGAAAAAATAACTAAGTCTCCATAACCAGAATCAAAATGTCTGATGAAATCACCAAATGAGTAACCAGGCGATATTGCTACACCAACTGTAACGTTGCCAGCTAACCTGGCCAAGTTTCCGCTAACACCAGAATATCCAAACCATCATCAATCAACTCATGAATGCTGTCAATCATATCCACCAAAAACTTGATATTTAGTTTCTTTTCCCAACTCGTATCACTTTCAGTAGATTCTTGCCAGAAAGATGGTTCTTCACTTCACAATTGACCAACTTCTGCCCAGGTAGACTTTAATTCACCTCTGATGCTGTGATATTTCTAAACATGAATATATATATATATATATATATATATCCAATTATTTATAAAGATCACTGCGTTTTTGGTATTATTCAACTTGTAGTTGAGTTTCTCAATTTTTCTAACGAGACTTTTATCATCTTGATGAAGTTTATTAAAGTTAAATAAAAAACTTTTAATATTTGACATTTTGACAAAACATTATTAATAACTTATTACTACAGAAAAGCTATTAATGACAAAACATTAATAATTTTAATAAACTTCATCAAAATGATAAAAGTCTCGTTAGAAAAATTGAGAAACTCAACTAAAAGTTGAATAATGCCAAAATCAGAGGTCAAGCAAAACTATTAGGACAACCGAAATTCACAAAATCAAATTCAATCAGCCAATCAGCCAATCAATCAATTAGTTTGTAAAGTACTATTTCCGCGATGTTCAACAGCGCTTCTCAGCGAATTTTTTAAACAAATGGGTCTTGACATTCTGAACTTCATAAGTGATGAAGAAGTAATTAGAGAAGGAAGTAGAGACTTCCAGAGAAAAGGGCCAGAAAATGCAAACGCAGATTTAGCAAAGAGTGTTCAACGCAAGTTAAAAAGAAGTGAGAACGAGAAGACGATAGTAAACCGGGGTGTTTAGTTTTAATTAATATATCCGATAAGCACATACGAAATAATTAAGATGGAGACATAAATGTACAAATTTTAAAAATTATTCTATATTTTATAGGTAACCAGTGCAAGAGAACAAGATATGGAGATATATGAAAAAAGAAAG